TTGAAATAGTATGTAGAGCCACTGGATAGTAGTTTGTTAACAACCAATGGTTGGTGGAACGCCGCGGGCCCGCGGCCAAGCATGCTTGGTCGCGGCGCACCCAACCGTTTGCGCCTGCCGTATCCAGACGGTTATCCCTCCAGATAGCGCGGCTTACATTTGACTTCGGGAAGCGTCTGTTTCTAAAACTGGCATCACCAGTCTGATCACGAGCAGCCTCTCAGCTCTGTCACGGAACCGTCCAACCTGCCGTACAGACGCATGGGACTAGCTAAACGTGAGTCGTGAGTGTGACCGAGCCCACAAGCACAAGTTATTGTTGGTTCAAGAACAGGTGTATTGCCCTTCCGCCGTCGCGTCGGCTTTCGCTGAAATCGAGCATGCATCAAGAGGGCCGGGTTCGAACAAGGTCAGGAAGGTCCGGCTCCCGCGTTACGTCGAATCGAACAGCGGCGCCTTGCCACCGATAGCATCCCGAGAAGAAACAGCCACGAGGAACTATTGCGACAAGAGCACGTGGCGAAACTGCACCGTGACCAAACAAACACGGGTCAACACGGGTGCATTGGTAAACATGTCGTCACCTTAGCACCGTGCCGACACAGCCTGGAGATAAAACGGCGACGGAAATACCCGTCGAAATCGAAACGGCAGCACCACATCGAAACGGCAGCACAGGATGTGCGCTAGCGAACATCCAGATCCAGAGCGCTTGACTGAATCAAAAGTACACCCGTGTGTCGCGAGGATGCAAAGTTAAATACATAAGACCGAAAACCAAAGTCCCCTAAAAAAAAAGTCCAAGAGATATTCAACATTAACCGCAAGCCAGCCACGTGCTAGCCGTCGCTAACGTTACGAAACCACCGCAGAGAAATGTGTGCTAACGACGTCCGTGGGAATCGCAGTGGCGCGTAGGTGGAGTGCGTGAGAGTGCGTACGAGTTTGCCAGAGATGTTAAGTGTTTGTCCTGTGGGAGTCAGTGTGTTTACATTGGCCATTCATCGAGCAGCGCGACGGTGAAACTTCAGAGGCGGCCCGTTTCCGTGGGGATGAATGGAAAGAAACGTTTAGCGCTGGGGTTTATGCCCAATTCGGTACAAAGACATACAGAGGCTAAATGCTTATGTAATGGAACGTTTTCAATTCGAGTTCTTCAACACATCAGTCATGCTCGGTTTAATGTCACAAAGTACTATTTTCAGGTGTGATCGTAGAGAAATAAAACTGGACGGCTTGCAATTGTATGGGTTCAATTCACAACAGTCAGTAACAAGACATCAACATAAAATATGTTATGCATACCGAAAGTCAGCCCTAGCAGAAATTAAGTCAATCGCTTATTAGCGGTTGGAATTAACATTCAGTACATATAAAAATGGGAGTGTGTAGCAATTGTATTTCAGTTGAGACAAGTATAATAACACGGAACAAAAATGATAGACGTTAAGTAATGTTAGCAATGTTAATCAAGTGAAATGCTTAAACTGATAGTGGCAATGTTAGAAAGTGGAGGCAGCGTTTAACACTGAATTTCTACAGTATAGCTCCTAACCGACTTAAATTCTACAGATTATAGCGAGATAATGAAGTCGTTACCTGGGAAAATGCATTTTATTTCTCTCACATTCAAATATCCTCACATCGAAATGTGGCAGTAAATGAGCTAACACTACACATCTACCTCCGATAGTTACAGAAGCCGCCTTGGGATTACCGAAACCGAAGGCGATTTAGAGGACAGATTGATGACATAAAACTAATTGCAGAGCCCAAAGACCTCTACCGGACGATGGACGGGCCCGTTTGAGCCGCCCACACAGCCGTAACCGTCGAGATAAGGCTTCGCCTCGTGCGAGATATCGTACACGAGGTCTCCGCTCTGCAGAAGTGCAGAAGTTCTTGCGAGAAAGTTGGCAATGCATTTGTCTGGTTCGACGACGATTCCTGTGATTGGTGCGATACGGAAAGAGAGTGATCTTGAAAGATTTAACTATTTCCTGGACCTTTAAAACGGAATAGAAAGCACAGACGCTGGCGCCAATATTGCGCACTTCTTGTTTTAATGCTCCGAAAACAATGCATCGACGACAAAAGCTGAAACTGTCTTCGGACGCAATAAGCCATGCTTTTAAGACGGACCAGCCGTAACACAATTGGATTGAAAGACGCCTGCATGATCGCAAGATCGCACACTGCCGCAGAACACGATCAGAGATTAACAGTCAATTTGCAATCATGCATACGGACATTGGCAGCCAGTATCGCTCCTAATCTTGTAGGCGGTAGCGATTCTTGTGCAAATTGCGGAGAACTCGGCTCGAAGCCTATTAAAAGTTTCGACAGTTTCGACTTAATCCTCGTCCAATGGACGTATCAATGGAGGATGATTTGACATTTGACGTCTCCCAAGTGATTTGCGATCGCATAAATGCATTGGCATGCGTTACTCGTCGTCATGCAGCGCCAGCTTGAATGGAATGCTGCGCCCGTGGGTCACGTCATGGAGTCTCACTTCGAAGCTCTCTCTTATCTGTATATCGGTTTATATTGATGAGTTAGAGCGAGAATTGCTTTCAGGATTATTGGATTGCGAAAGTGAAACCTGCCAAAAAGTTAAAACTATGGTTGCCAGGCGGAGTCGATGCTGCAAAGGTCTTTCAGCGTAATCAATATTTAATATTCGCAAACGTGATTCATTCATCTATTTGGGAAACACCGAAACTAATTTACAGTTCACCTGAGCGTGAAATTAGCCAACAGGTCTCCGTTTGAATTCGGTCTTCCTGCGATATTCGAGACATTGTTGCACGTCAGCGCAACACGCAGTAGCGGTTTGTGGCGGCCTACTCAATGGCCGCACCCTGGTCTCACCCTGGTAGTAACTCCATTCGGAAGGCCCTCATTCATGGACGCTGACCGCCCCAGTCAGTGTTCATAGACGCTGAATGAAACGGCGCCATAAATTCCACGGGAAGGACACGACTGTCCCCGGCTGAAGTCACGTACTGAGATGATCCATGAGGTGCGGTCACTGGAAGACGGACTTTCGCCCAGACAGTGAGCCACACCGGGCAGCTTTCGGAAACCCCAACGTATTCCAAACTAGGAATTCCAAACTAGTAAAGAGCTTTAGACATTACTTCTTCAGAGGATAATCTACAAGATGATGTTCACGAATAAGAGGATAAACCACACGAATTATGTGTAAGTACTAGGGACCAATGCCAAAGTTAAACCGTAATACAATGGTTGAAAAAGCACCCTCTTCCTGCTAGCTTTGTCTACGGCAGTGCTGAAGGACGGTGAATAACGCTAGAAAGAGTACAAAATAATGTTGTGTCATTTCTTACATATGCGAGCGATTTGAACGTGTTAATATTCCAACGACTGACAAATCGGCTTTTATTTCTTATGCAAAAGAAAGTCGGCCGATATGATGGAAAACCATAAGCACTGAGCGCTATTCGAGAAACTGCTTCTGTTAGACATTTCCACTCCGGGGTTTTATGACCGCGAAACGACCCACTTGGTGCTCCTTTCGAAGCCTTAGGATGGTCGTCCAAATCGCGTTTCATCGACGTAAATGTGGACTATCCCGCTAACCGTGAAAATGACCAGGATCATCAGCGAAAAAAAAAAATCAGACTGGGCGGCTCATCAAATTTCCGCCGTGGTTGACAAGATTCTGTCCCTGTAGCGGGTATACACTCGCCGACATACCCCGGCCGGGTCGAGGTACTCACACTTTGTGCGTATTCCTGGGTATGTTGAACGGCACCCTCGTCAGTCCGCGATGCGAGCAGTCCACCACCGAGGCGCTGCACTCACAATCCTTGGGGCACGCTGCGGCTGGTGCCGACAGCACCATCACCATCACCAGGGCGGCCAGCACCAGCCGCCCCGTCACCATCGCTCGCGACACCACCCTGCCGGTCATGGCTCCGGGTCAGTCAGTGCACATCCCAGGCGCACCGACACACACCCCTCGCACCTCGGACCCTCCGCGGCCGGGTCCCGCGGCTCACTGGGACCGGAGTGGACGGTCACCGGCGCCGAGCGCAGGGAAGGCGATACTAGCGCCGGCGGGTCACTGCGGCCGACTGCGGAACTTTGGCTGGCTGACTGGCTAACCAGATGGCGTTATAAAATGCATTGGTTAGGCTGGCTATCGCTCCGTCAATTCTATCCTGAAAGGACAACAAAAAATTCTCCTTCACGCCTTAGAATCCCTTGCTCGGGCCGGACTGTCACATTTATGCTACGTGAGTAGTTCTTCAGGAGCAGGCTCACTTATGTACAGTGCAGCGGGGTGACCTTTTGTAGGGCTGGTTGGCCTGTCCACTGACGACTTGGACTCTCGGCCCCAACGACGCACCAGTGGTCTGCCCAGACTAATGTCTCTCCCAAATTTCTATCATCCTTCCGGCTCTCAAAGGGTCTTATCAGATCGAAAGGACCTATATCACAAACAAAACAAACAAGCAAACAGCCTCACGTGCAGCGGGGCGACCGTAGGCGGGGCTGCTTGGGCTGTCCATCGAGACAGTCTCGGCCCAGCGGCGCACCAGAGTGGCCGGCCAGACTAATGGCTGTCTCCCCCAATTCCCACTATCCTTCCTCCTCTGAGAAGGTCTTGTTGAACCCAAAGGCTTGTCCTACAAAACAAAAATATGTAGGTTGGGACATGCATTGTCCCATGGGACGGGCTCTTATCTTTGCGCCACTGCAGCCGACGCGGAGATGAAACCCTAATCGAATGAACTACCTCAGCCTAAGTGTGAAATCGTAAGAAAGGTTCGTGATTCGTTAGGTTTTGTTCTTTTCTACTTTGGTTTTTAGTCATAACCACAAGTAATTATCCTGAAGATGTAAAAAAAAAATCAATCCAGTGGTCATTACCGCGTCCCATTATCATCCCGTCCCACGGACCTGAAACAGTCTCATGCTCTGATTAGACCATTTCAAGTAGGCTTATTCTACCAAGTTCTTCGATCAGCTTTAAATTAACTTCTGGATTTATTATCGTAGGGTCACACCCATCCCTTATGTGGTATCGCCCTAGCACGTCCCCCACGTTGAACGATTGCTATCTGGCCTGGATGTAGGTTTCCATTTAACGGTACAGTTTCTTCAAAAGTTCATTGTCAATGCTCTAACAAGAACGAAAGGGCTAGCGAAAGCAGATGCAGCCCATCATATAACACAATCGTTTCATTCGTTGTTTTCGCCATTACACATGCACATTGTCTAGCAAATACGAAAGCAGTCTAGCAAATACGAAAGCAGACTAGCAAATACAATAGCCAACAGCAGCACCTGCGCGCATTGCACTGCACCTGATCACCATGCGTCACTAGCAGCTGAATAGCACCGCGTCAGCTAACCTGTGTTGCCTTCTTCACGTCACCATCTCGAGTCTCAGGGCCGACAACAGCCGCCGTGGCCGCCGCCACGGCAGCCTCCAGACCCGTCTCAGTCCTTTGCTGGTTATCGACACTGGGGTTATCCTCAGAGCTGCTAGAATCCCGCACCACTTCATGAGAGTTGGTAGAATCCCGTGCCGCTTCTGCACTTTCAGAGCTGGCGAAATCCGGCACGGATTCCTCGGACTCAGCAATACTTTGCTTAACTGCAGTTCCCTCTGAGGGTTTAGGGCTCGACATGGACAACATCGCCGCCTCCTGACGCTGAGTCTGGGCCAGCTCTGCCTTCTCTTGCTCTAGCTTCTTTTCTGCTTCTAGACGTTTCTTCTCTCGCTTTCTCTCCGCCCGAGCCTTGTTCCGTCTGTAACGGTAAATCACAACGTGTCAATATGAAAAATGAAATAAAACAGCTCAATAAAATGTTGGTTGATTCTACATTAACAATGGTGCTATAAAAAACAAGCGGAAACAAACAAAAAATGCAGGCCGATCCACTTTCGTCTATGCATTATATTCCTTGCCTTTCAGCTAGCTTTGGAGAACAAATACGATAGTCGCCACCCGATCCACGGATAGCCTAGAAGTCGTTTTTGTCTCATATTATAATGTCTCCTTGGATTAATGAACATCACCGTCGCCTACTCACAATTCCTGCTGGTGTTTCCAGAGGTACTGCTGGTAGCGCAGCTTCGGCAGCGTGGTGCCGGTGAGATAGCAGGTCAGCGAGAACACGCCACCGCCAATCAGGCCCAGAATGCCGCCTGAAACGGGACATAGAAATGCAGTTCATGGCGATAAATAGAAGATGAGAGAAGTGCAATATGACCCGATGGCGGTAATTTTCTATCACATTACATTTCAACGTGTCCTTCAGCAATGCAGTGCGCAGAACTTCAGGCAGACGAGCGTGATAAAAAGCAACTGATGTATCGATGACGAACTCGAATCAAGACGTTTGCTTTCATTTAGCGTCCCTGATTTCCTGATACGTGTCTATACGTTAACCTGTGACTGCGCGCGGTGCGAGCCTCACCTGCCACGGCGCCGGCCGTCATGCCCCGCAGCCCCATGCTGGCCTTGTAGAGCGCGCCGGCCACCACGCCACCGCAGCAGTAGTGCAGCGCCGATATCTGGTTCGTGTACACCATCAGCGTGGTGGAGACGAGCCTGCATCGGAGGTAAGGCGATGTTGTTCAATGGACGCTGCTTATAAAGTAAGAGTTGTGTCAAAATGAAAATTTTACTTTTCCTCAATGACGCGGTGTCTTCACATAGAAGGCAGTTAAAGACGGAGACAGGAAATGGCGTCGAAAGAATATTTAAACCATGTTTTTAGTACCTATCGTATCTAAATGTTCCACTTCTACACTTCCTGCATGACTGGAGACAGTACACTCGGGGGCAGATTGATGTTCTACAACTCTTTATCCACCGGGTTCCTATGGCTCAGCATTGGCAGCAGCCGCCTGGTACCGGTAGACTGTGCCGCTTCACTTGCTTGTCAAGCGGCACAGCCTACCCAACCGTATGACACCGGTCTGGGTCGGTGGCTGGAAGGTGATGTGGGCCGCCTGTGACGTCAGCGCAGCGGAAAGTGCCGAGCCCGGAGGCATGGCTCGGGTCGGCGCGGCGCGGCGGCTGGCGAGGGCTGGGGAGTGAGGTGGGGTGGGAGCACGGACATCGCGCGGGTGAGCGAGTGTAGTTAACTTTCGCGTCTCAAGGCGCCAATTATTCTACCTAACGATTGTGCTAAAGCAGTTGTTAAAATGTCCTATCCCCAAGACGCGCCTATCATCATACTTGCAATGCACATTACGACACACTTAACGTGGCAATGGGACAGCCGATAGAACTTATGTCACTCGTGCATCGAGGTGCGGAGCTATATTTTGTATAACATATTAGTATTAAGGCCTTGATTGAGCAGATTGGTGTCTATTGTTTCGCACGGCAATCGTCCAGACCAGAGACGTGGGAACTGGGGGTTATGAGTAGTGCCGCAGCCAACGCCCCAATTTAAAGCGATTATTACTGTTGCTCTAATATGTGGTCACAGCCCCCAATAGCAAACCGTTCCAACTAGGAGCCAAAAAGTCGGCCACTCAGGGGGGTTCGAACCGGGCTTCTCCCACCGGCCAATTCACGACACGAGCGTTCCTCCACTGAGCTACCGAGAATGGTCCTCGTCTGCACAAAACAAAATGACATTCACCCGCTGACCGCCAATGACAGTAGGTATTGTGACATTTGATCGAGTTTGACCGCGGCGGGTGGTCGCTGGTTTCGGCAGCTCAGTGGATACACGCTAGCGTCGTGGGGTGACCAGTTGGAGAAACCCGGTTCGAGCCGTTCCAGGTGCGCGACTTATTTGTTCCTAGATGGAACGGTTTGCTATTGGTGGCTGCGACCACACATTAGAGGAACAGTAGAGTTGCTTAAAGTTGGGACGCCGCGCTATCCAAAAATCCTAGTTCCCACGTCTCTGGAGGACGATTGCTGTGCGAAATAATAGACACCAATGAGCTCAATCAAGGCCTTACTACTTATCTGTTAAAAACAATGTAGCTCTGCAACTCGATGCACGTATGATATAAATTCTATCGGCTGTCCCAAGGCTGTCCCATTGCCACGCTTAAGTGTGTCGTAATGTGCATGGCAAGTATGATGATGGGCGCTGTCTTGGGGATAGGACATTTTAGCTACTGCTTTAGCACAATTGTTAGGTAGAATAATAGAGACGCGAAAGTTAACTACACTCGCTCAGCCGCGCGATGGTCCGTGCTCCCACCCCACCTCACTCCCCAGCCCTCGCCAGCCGCCGCGCCGCGCCGACCCGAGCCATGCCTCCGGGCTCGGCCCTCACCGCTGCGCTGACGTCACAGGCGGCCCACATCGCCTTCCAGCCACCGACCCAGACCGGTGGCATACGGTGTGGGTAGGCTGTGCCGCTTGACAAGTAAGTGAAGCGGCACAGTCTACCGGTACCAGGCGGCTGCTGCCAATGCTGAGCCATAGGAACCCGGTGGATAAAGAGTTGTAGAACATCAATCTGCCCCCGAGTGTACCACGTGCCCGAGCCTCACAAAGTGCAATGTCTGCTAGACGAAGTGTAGCGGTCGAAGCTGCATCTGTAGTCTGTTACTCACGTGAAGGCCGATGTGAACAGGGCCGTCCGCCATCCGAAAATGAAGAAGCCGCGAGCCATTCCCAGCGTCAGACGATCCTGCAGCGCTCTCTGTTGGGCAGAGGGATAGGTGAGATAGGAATAGTTACTAGTTAGAGTGATAGAGATGAGACTAGTTATAGTGGTAGAGATAAGGATACATTCATACTGTACAACGATCAGTTCGCATTCATATACGGTATACCACACATATTCCACGCATGATAAAATAAACCCAACTTTCACAAATGCGTCTGATCAACCCACGCTGGTCTTCGATATGATGCAGAAATATCTTTTTTCAATTCAACTGTGGAATCAAATTTTGATTTTTCAATGCACTTCGCCTTGCATGCTACTGAAAAATCGTGTTAACATTTCGATATCTAAACCATACAATCTGTTTTCCCAGCTGAATTTCAAGCTTCCGTGTCCATCACAGCACCCACCTTCGCAACAATCTGTGACTCGAACGGCGTGGCCTGGTTCCGCTCGACGAATTTGATGATGGCTAGCCTTCCGTTCAACATTGCTCCGAGCGAGCCGCCGATCAGGAGACCGGCGGTGGCTATGTTGGTCACCAGCTCCAGCTCGGGGGTCAGGCCGCCCATCTCACTGACGGGGACGGTGTACAGCGTGAGAGAAACATACACGGGGTGACTTGAGAGACGGAGAACTGAGGATGGAGTGAGTGGGCGGCACAGGTTTAATTGGCCGATATTCAATTTCAGTGACGGGAATGGAACACAGTCGATAAACTACGTGAAAATGTTGGTTTCCGAAGACGAATAAAATGAAGGACTGCAAATTCGAAAAAATCATCTGCTAGCAGATTCGTCCTGTGAACTGAAGAGTAGACTATTTGAGTAAAATCTGGTCAATCGGTAACAACGAAAATACTTTTAATGATGTTCCAGTAAAACTGTAACCAGGTGAAGAAGCCCCCAAGGGGCCAAGCAACTTTGTCCCCGACTTACTCGAGCGTGTACATCGCAGCCAGCCGATCCCACCCGGTCTGCTCTTCATCGGGATTGAGCAGCTTGTTCTTCACCAGCAGATCAAAGTCGACCTCATCACACTCCGACTGCACTGTGAGCATCGTGAACCAGGAGGCGGCCAGCGCGATCCCGCAGCGCTCCTTGGTGCGGTCAGAGAGGCGCGCCGGCCACCGCACTCCCCGCCGGCCGCCACCAGCCCTGACAGGTCGACACAACTGGCGCGCCCGGCAGGCAGCCGAGCTCAGACGACTGTGCAGCTGTCGCAGCTGCGTGGAGAAGGTGGAGCTCGGAGATGTGGCCAGACGGGAGCCAGTTGATGTCCATGCTGCACGCGTGAGGGTGGTGGCAGACATGCCTTGTGGTGCTGCGGCTAAAAGCTTTTCTCGGCTCAGGAGAGCCAGATGTTTTGTAATGCATCTGTTCATTTTGATGAATCTAGGATAACTTAACTGTATCCTTATTCCTTGGGCTTGGCTGCTCTTATGTTTTCATTGTGTGGCATGAGTCATCTGCAAAAAAAATTGGAGTGAGAAACATGCATACATTAAACTTCATTTCAAATATCAGTGTGGTTCCATTATAATTGTAACATGAAATGGGTACGGGATTATTCCACTTTTAAAACAAGCCAAATACTTCCACTTTCCAGGAGATAACAAAGGGACCTATTACAATTAGACAACAGATACCACCTAATTCATGTTTAAGTGTCTGCGCCCTGCGGCCACAAGGTCAGGTGAAAATAAGAAAACAGAATGTCACCCATGATTTTATCTTATTTGCGGTGGTGGGAATCACTAAAGATCTTCGGTAGAGCTCAATTTTTATGACATTTAGTGACATTTATCATTTTTGAGCGGGTAAGACCAAGTAATTCTTCAGAGTCTGTTTCAACAAGTTCATTGATTTTCTGTTGATTTATTGCTCACTAAATGGCTGCATTTGTATTTAAGTTTAAACCTGGTGTGCTAGAGGCGATCATAATTCACAACCAGAAATACCTACCCAAATATTTACAACACACAATACCAGTTGGGCAAACTAGGCGGCGGGAATCAAAATATGGAGGCATCAAAATATTGATTCTAGTGGGCGGAGCTTTGACCATATATGGGCATAGAATCAATATTTTGATTCAATTTGGGACATTCCCACCTTCAGACGACCCGTTACGGCGGAAATAACCCCCATGACGGCGAGATTTTTTGACAAGTCAAAACAAAAAACTTCCCCGCTTCAATTTTTCGCTGCATGGCTATCAGCCGTTTGTCGCGCGTACCTTTACGAATGGCATAAAGATTTCGCCGCCATAATTCAACAAAAACGTGCTGATAAAACTTGCTCTGTTTATCATTAACGACGAGCCTTTGTATTTTTTTCATAATTTTGTCTAAAAGAAAATAAAAAATGCGTTATTTAGTTGTATAATTCATTTATAAGAAATATTCTTTTTCTTTGTATCTAGCCACGATTTCCGGTTCCCGCCATTTCGCGCCGGCGTCGTGGGTGTGTGGATGCAACGTAGTGCTCCCGGTTTTATTTTGTCTAAGCGACCTTTTCTGACGTGTAAGTAACAATGGATCATATTTTAAGATACTTTGAAGTGTGTTTTTCAATTTCAGGCATGTGATCTTAACGTTTCTTACCGAAAACTCGTTTTAAGAGATGGTTTTAGGAACATGGCGCGGTAGCGACGTCAGCGGCGCGGGACGCCTTCTCACTCTTCTATTGTCTTTTTAAGCTATATTTTTTTGAAAATGATGTCTTAAGTGTAGTATTTCAGTGAAATATGATGTCCTTTAAAAGTTACGGTATAAATTAGGTACAAGAAGCCTAATGTTTTGTCTCACCTGATAGAATTGTTGGGTGGACTCATGAAATGGGGGCAGTGCATGTCCAGTATTTTACATAATTTGGATGTTTTAGCCTCTGCTTGTGTCTCACTCACCCAATTGTTGCTACAACTTTAATTTGTAGCATTTAAATTTTTAATGGCAACTAGGTTATTGACTTGTTCCGAGTCAAGATTGAAAGGTCGTAGTGCATGTTCGTGTTTGCCTTATCTAAATAGTAGGTATGTATGCTTGGCTTGTAATTGCTTCGCCGATTTTTGCTACATATTTAATGATGCTTACTTTAAGTGTAACAAAAGCAAGTTGCTGAATGGTGTAAGCCATATTTACATTATGCGTGATCTTCAAGAAAATTATGTGTCTAATGTACGGCAGTCCAGGGAATGCTGGATAGTTAATTTTCAGGATTGTCCATGCCAAAGTTAATTTTAGAGGCCAGTTTTATCAACACAAATAGCTGCCTGCTGAAATTTTTTGCCTTAAGACTGTTTCACATATGGAGCGTTAACATGATGGGCACGTAAAAGGATAGGGCTGTACCGTTCATGCTCTGTATGTGAAGTAACTTTTAAACAAAACAAAAAAATCCAGCAGTCACCTATTTTTCTGTTGGTACAACTGGCCTCAGATCTACTTTTTTGGCAGAATTTATATAATTGCATGAGATGACAGTTGTTGGCGCACCTGGTGGCGTTCAGTGGAAATTTAAGTGACATTAAGTATTTAATTTTTTATTAAATACATTCTAAAATTAATAGTTGCTGAACAAGGGGAATAATAACACATATAGTTTCCTAATTTATTGTCCACAAATGTCCTAATTATTGTGTTCTGTTGTTTGCTGCAGGTCAACCAAGGATCAAACACTGGTCGTTGCGGGGATCGGCTTCAGAGGGCCAAGGATGGCGTCTTGAATCGCTGTTTAGTCGACAGGCAACTGTATGACGCCATCCCTGTCAACCAGAGCGTCGACTGAAGTAGGGCGGCGTTGCGCGGACCTGGCCGCACCCGACCAACCGGCGGAGTACCTGACTCGGGCTGGGCGGAGACTACCTACATCACGACCTTTTGAACTTTGATCTCGTGGCGAGAAACAATATGACGTAAGGAAGTGTGTATGTGGCTGGCGGGGCCGAGGGTGAAATGCGCCACGTGTTTATCCTGCCGGATGACGACAGCGTCACCAACCTGTCAAAGAACGAGCTGGTGCAGCGCGTGATGACTGCTATCTCGTCCCTAGAACCGGAGTAGAAAAACGTGCGCATAGCCCAGATGAAGCGAACCAAAACACAGACAGGACTGATAGCTTTTCGGTCGAGAATGTTCTGAAGATGCTGATCAGTAGACCAATTGGTGACCGTTTTCGGTGGTAATATGGGATCTTGTGGTGTTCCAAAGCGACCTGCTTTGGGTGTGGACATAAGTGGCTCAACCTGACAGGATTGATGTTTTAGGTAGCCGTGCTAATCATAAACCCTATATTGAGTGTATCTGTACAAATTTTGTTTATATTTATTTCATGTATTTGATTCGAAACCGAAAATTGCTGTTTGTAATTAGGCAACATCGAGACGTTGAGGTCATTCTCCAGACGTTTATTTGTTTTTTTCTCACCTGTCCGCGGTATGTCTTATTGGTTAGGTCTCAGTTTCAAATATTATTAACTGCATGTTTTGCAAATACGTAGCCATATTGAATAAGAGACGTGTCCTAAAAGTGAGTATTGCTTTGCATGGGATGTGAGCATCAACGACAGGGCTTTGTGATGGCAAATATGTGGCAATTGCAGGGATCGTTGTGAAATGTGTTATGAATATCATCGTATTATTTGCGAATGCAAATACATCCGTGTATCATATTTTCATTCAAATTGTGCAATTTGTGCAACGGGCTTGAGTATATTGTTCGGCGAAATATCTCCTACTGTACTCCACAGAAATGGGACGGGATACAGATGCGTAGAAACACATTCATGAACACGTGAAAGACGATAAGTTAACTTTTTTTTACTCAAAATCAATGCTACAAAGCAGGGATGTGGAGCCGTGAAAATGTCAGACGGCTTCGGCTCCGGAGGAAAAAATCGGCTCCAGCTCCGGCTCCGGCTCCGAGTAAAATGGTCGGGCTTCGGTTCCGGCTCCGACTCAGTACAACCCCTATACAAAGGTCAGCACGGCTCCCTTCACGCATTCCCTCGAAGGCTTGCAGCTTTGAGCAGGGAGCCAGGGTGAGTGCTGAAAATCCCTGGTCTACCGTGGGAATAAGGTCTAGAAAAAAATTACACGATCCTGTGCTGATAATATCTTAATGAATTTATTGAATTTGCATTATTTGCACACAAGAAACATCCCATAAATCAATTTAAAGGGTGAAGTACGTCTGCAGAAAGTCAGTTCGCAGAATCAATATATTGATAAACCAGCTGATTTCAGAATCAAAATAATGATTAGCCAGCTGTTTGCAGAATCAAAATATTGATTCTCGCCGGGATTAGCCGCCGTGATGAATCAATATCTTGATTATTTTCAAGACACTTTCCAAAACTAACCAAAGAGGTTAGGGCTATTGTTTCGTGCCTGGTGGGCAGCTTCAACGTTGCTCTTCATTTTGTGAAGAAACTATCTTGAAATTGTAGCCGGTTGCTGAAGAATTGACGTTTCTGTGATGGTCTGCACGTATGCCCATATATGGTCAAAGCTCCGCCCACTAGAATCAATATTTTGATGCCTCCATATTTTGATTCCCGCCGCCTAGTTTGCCCAACTGATACCTTCCTGAAGCTTATTTCTTTGAATTTGAATTTGTATCTCTAATGTTAGGCAGGTAATCGTCAAAAGTGTCACGCTCTAAAACAAAATGACTTTGAAACAATTTTTTGACACTAATAGTTCAAAGTACCTCAAATAATTCCAATCGATCTCTAATATTAAATAAAAAACCGCTTAGACCATTGACCTCTAGAAGTCTAGACACACTTTTAGACTTTTCATAACGTGCCGCCCGGCAACGCTGTAAAACTCAAGGTCATTCTGACAGGGGGGCATTCGTCGGCCTGCGGCAAACGTTCACCGTTGTTTGTCGTATTCCCGTTGGTGAGCGGTCTTGCTAAAACTCGGAAATGACGAAAAGTTGTTCTGCGATCGGGTGCACGAAGAGGCAAGGAGGTCAACCCAGGCATGGCACCGTTTTGTCGTTCCACAAGTAAGTTTATGTGCCTGAATTAGCTTTTTAAGGATCTTCTTTTTAAAGATAGGTCTGCGCCGTTATTGTCGTCAGGCGTGCTGCGTTTCGGCATAAATTGAAACACATATTTCTAATTATTAATTCGGTTGAGTTGAGAAAGAGAATGATAGATTAAGATGCGTTAAGTATAATTTCATGTATTTCTGAACAATAATGCTATTTTTACCTTGTTGATTGCTGCCATCAGGAGGAATTTTCTACACTGGAAACAGTTTGAGATAACTAAATCCAATTAACCCAAATCACATAAAAACCTAACCTGAAAGACTCATAGCCATCAGTTGAGAATCCACATTATTTCAAAATTCAATATTGTGTTAGGAAAAGGCAAAAGCAGTGATGTGGTTAATGATAAGTGATACCTAACCAGCAAAGTAATACCACGTAAAAATCACAAGATCCTACAAGCACAGTGATCCGTCATCAGAAAGATTTAAGCTTTTTACAGGGAATTGAAATGTGTGTTTTGGTAAGAATAGTCATATGAAGTAAAAGCAAATCTAATTTTTTCTTATCATTCATGGAAATGTAACTACGCGTGCTTACTGCGTAGCCTCTCATAAAACCGTGGCCGTGGGCAGTGGGCTTGACGAGATAGTTATCTCTGGGCAGCCCAGATCCTGTCAAAAGGACAGTTTACCCTCAGTTATCTGTTAGCCTACCCAAAATTGTACCTTTGTCACCCGATCTATGTCACACTTGCCCTGCTTTCCATGTGTTCTGCCCTATCTCGAGTAGGTACTGGCCTGAAATCCCTGAATGATGCCATATTTTTTCAGAGCCGCCCCAGTTAGATCATGTCAAACCCTGCCATGTTTTTCAGACTGTTTTTTTAGCTTCTTGCTGTCCAAGAAGTGATATTTTGATGATTTATTATGGATAAAAATGTGAAAACTAAATTGATTACCTACTAACTTTTATTTGTTTGCATTATCTGCTTTGTCTATAAGGAGGCTGAAAAGGACTTATATTGAGGACATTACATCATAGATGGGCTAACATCATAGATGGGCTAAGCTCAACTGCTGTAGCCTGATCACGGAAATCAAAGCTTGGGCAGTGTCAGTATTACAACAGTAAACCCATCTGTCCTATCCTACAGCTGCCATCTGTTCTGGTTTCTTATTAAGCTTCTTAAGCTTGAATGGAATGATTGACTAAAAAGAGCAATTGTAATATAGCATATAAAGTATA